AGTGCTTGGGCCCCTGTATCCATGTGGGAAACCTGGAGTAAACTCCTGGCTTCTGCTTCAGATCAACACAGCTCTGGCCATTGCAGCAATCTGGGAAGTGAACCAGCAGATGGAAGACTCTCTCTCTCTCTCTCTCTCTCTTGGGCTCTACCTCTCTCTGTAACTCAGTCTTTCAAATAAATAAATCTTTAAAAAATAAAAAACAAAGCTGGAGGCATCACAATACCATATTTCAAGACATACTATAGTGCAGTTAGAATCAAAACATCCTGGTACAAAAACTGATGGACAGACCAATGGAATACAATAGAAACTCCAGGAATCAATCCGAGCATCTACAACCAACTTATATTTGACAAAAGAGGTAAAATCAATCCCTGGAGTGAGGACAGTCTCTTCAACAAATGGTGCTGGGAAAACTGGATGAAACAAGACCACCTATGCTTTACACAAAAATCCACTCAAAATGGATCAAAGACCTAAATCTACCATCTGATACCATCAAATTATTAGAAAACATTGGGGAAACCCTGCAAGACATTAACACAGGCAAAGAGTTCTTGGAAAAGACCCCAGAGGCACAGGTAACCAAAGCCCAAATTGACAAATGGGATTACATCAAATTGAGAAGCTTCTGCACTGCCAAAGAAACTCAACAAAATCAAGAGACAACTGACAGAATGGAAGACATTTGCAAACTATGCAATTGATAAAGGATTAATAATCAGAATATATAAAGAGCTTAAGAAGCCCAACAACAATGAAACCAACAATCCAGTTAAGAAATGGGCAAAGGACTTAAATAGACATTTTTCAAAAGAGGAAATCCAAATGGCCAACAGACACATGAAGGATCACGTCATCAGGGAAATCAAATCAAAAGCACAATGAGGTTTCTCCTCACCCCTGTTAGAATGACTTTCAAAACAAACAACAAATCCTGAGGATGTGGGGAAAAAGGTACCCTAATCCATTGTTGGTGGAAATGTAAACTGGTACAATCACTGTGGAAGACAGTAGGGAGATACCTCAGAAATCTGAATATAGACATACCATATGATCCAGCCATCACCCTTTCGGATAATTTATCCTAGGGAAATGAAATCAGCATATGAAAGAGTTATCTGTACCCCCATGTTTATTGCAGCTCAGTTCACAATAGCTAAGATATGGAATCAACCCAAGTGTCTGTCAACTGAAGACTGGATATGAAATAATGGGATATATACACTATGGAATACTATGGTAGTGGAAAAAAAATGAAATCCTGTCATTTCCAACAAAATTAATGCAAATGGAAAACATTATACTTAGTCAAATAACCCAGTCCCAAAAGGATGAATGCCATATGCGATCCCTCACCCCCAACCTGTGGTAACTAATAGAGTACCTAAAATGTAACCTATAGAAGTGATAGAGACTTTGAAATGCAATGACTTTGAACAGCCCTTGCCTCTACTGTTGAGGAAGGGTTATATATATATATATATATATATATATATATACATATACACACACACACATATACATACATACACTGTTTGTTGACCTCTTTAGTATACGGTTAATCTTATGTGTATAAAGTTAATCGAAAATAGATCTTAGTAGAAAATAAGAATGGGAATAGGAAAGGGAGAAGGAAGGGTGGGAGGGCAGGTAAGATGGGAAGAAACACTACATTCCTAAATTTGTATTTCCAAAATGCATGAAGTTTGTATATCCAAGCAGTAGACCTGAATGTGTGCCTGGCTCCTGTCTTGATTCTGGCCTAGTCCTGTTGAGAGTCATTTGGGGAATGAACTATCAGATAGGAGATATCTATATCTTTTTCTGTCACATGGTTTTCAAATAATCTTATTAAAAGAGTAAGTAGGGGTGGATATTTTGCTTGTGTTTAAGATGCCTATATCCCATATCAGAGTGCTCATGTTTGATATGGGCCTCCCATACTAATATGGCATGTCCACATCCCATTTCACAGTCCAGCCCCTGGTTTGAGGGACTGTGCTCTCCTACTTTCTGATCCAGCTTCCTGCTAGTGCAGTCCCTGGGAAGCAGCACTGATGGCTCAATTAACTGATGTGAGGGAGATCTTGACTGCATTTCCAGCTCCTGACTCTGGCCCTAACCCAGCCCCGGTGGTTGAGGGCATTTAGAGAGTGAACTGGCATATGGGGAATGCTTTCTCTCTTTCCTTCTCAATTAAAAATAAATAAACTTAAAAATAAATAGAGAACAGAAAAGGTAAACCTTTTCACAACTGGCGATTCTTAAGACATGCTTAGTATGTTTCTATGTGGAAGATGGATTCTTCTCCAAGTATATTTACAGACAAACAACACATTGTCATGGTATTGCTTGGAATTTGACATAATAAGTATCATCCATTCTTGCCAGAAATTTATTAATTCTTATTTTCCTAAAGAGAAAATGAAATGTCTAAAATTGTGGGGCAGAGATCTAATATGTACATATGTGTAAAATGCTTGCTAAAATTTTAATTCTTCAAATTACATTTTAACACATTCATGTGGCTTCCTTCTCTGGAATAAGTTCTCCTATTTTGTACCTCTCTGTATGTTGCATTCCAATGACATCAACTTTGAATATGGCCTTTCAATTTCAGCCCGAGTAAATTTGTATTGCTTGCAACATTTGAAACCCAGGTTATTTTTCATACATTTATTTGCTGTGTTTGTCAGCAAAACCAACACACCTATTTACAATCTCAAGATTTCAATGCTATTATTTTTAATAAGCTTTCATCTGATTGGGCCAGGTCCAACACACCTATTAACAATCTCAAGATTTCAATGCTATTATTTTTTAATAAGCTTTCATCTGATTGGGCCAGGTTAAGTAAGACTTAGTGGGTTAAGCTGCCAACTGTGACCCCAGCACTCATATGGGTGTCAGTTCAAGTCCCAGCTGCTTCATTTCAGAACCAGCTGCCTGCTAATGGCCTGGGAAAGCAGTGAAAGATGACCCAAGTATTTGGATTCCTACCACCCATGCTGGAGAACAGGAAAAAGCTCCCGGATCCTGACTTCAGCCCCCTTCAGACTCAGTCATTCCAGCCATTTGGGGAGTGAACCAGCGGATGGAAGATCTCCATCTGGTCTGTTTTCCTCTCTCTCTTTAAATCTTCCTTTCAAATAAATAAGTAAATCTTTTAAAAAATTTTTTTAAATTTTCTATCCCAATTAGAATTAAGTTTGGAGATGTTAATGGAGAAATTTCTTTTACAAAGAAGACATTTTACATGTTTCTTTTAGACATGTCAGATGGTGATGATCCCTCATTTTCAATATAGTAGGAATAAAAATAATTGTAGAGGCTGTTCAGATTTTTATTAGATCACCCTGAGAGTGCAGGACCTGGGGATATGATGGAAGAACCTTAGGTATTCAGATTTTAAGGTAAAGGTAGGACATGTCAGACATGATAACATACAAGCATGTGCAATGGATATATCTTCCACTCACCTACATATAAAACCCTCCTCCCAAGAGAATATGCAAATAGTAGTTTTCAGTGATCTTTCTTTTTAAGAATTAACCAAGTAGTAGGGTTCTTGTCTTAATAAATATTCTCTTGGAGTAGGAACGGGTAACCACCAAGACAGGTAACTTCAACTCAGCATTGCTATATGGGATGAAGGTTAGGACACAATTTGACATTTTTCTTAAACAAGTACATTTCTTTCACTGTCAGTACATTCCTATATCTGTTCTCAGAATCACCTTCATTTTCCACACCTCTTTTCCTATTCCTTGATACACTCCACCTGGCTCTATTTTGCCCATAGGTGCTTGTCTGTACAATGTTAAAAAGCAGTGGTAGTTTCTGCTTCAATTGTCAGCTGCATTTTTAATTCTTACCTTCATCATATCTAATACTACTGTCAGAACTTTTTTATTTCATCTGATTCAAGATCAGACATGTTGTGAATTTAAAGAAAATACTAAGATTATGACAAATAATGGAAACAGTGTTATCACCCATGAAGCAATTTTCCATGCTTACTGACAACTCAAGATAGAAAGAATAATCTGAAAGTAACAGTTTAGATTTAGGTCTTCAGTGGCTCCTCAACCTACATTAATATGATTTTTATTCATTCTGACATAATGTAGCAAAAATCACAAGAGCCATGAGAAAGAAATAGATATTAAGAAGCAGGAACAGTCTCCATTCACATTATAATGGAAGAAAACTAACAGCCAACTTGGGTTTTGCTAGAATGTAACATACCCACAGCCTTATCACTCTGGAGGCACATTTTGACATAATAATAAACCACTGAGAAAGAAACACTTTTATCTAGGTCAGAATGACAGTCTCTCAAGTGTTAGAGAGCTTGAGGGGACTATAGTTTGAAACATCAGGAAGACGACTACAATCTGTACAAAAATTCTCATCAAGTCTCAACATCGCTTAATAGTTTTCATCCAATACATTGTAATTACTCCACTGGCTTATTCGGGGATAGCATTTTTATTTCATCCTACCAAAATGGAATGAACCACATTTTATGACGACTACATTTATAATAAGATGCAGATGGTAAAGGAAACAGATGCCTCTGACATCATCTCCCACTTGCCTTCAACTTTTGCAGACACTGGCAGTCTGTAAACTCATTCAAAGGGACACAAGATAAGTTAGGCAGTTTTCCAATTCTGTTTCCAGTCTTAAAAATCACTGGCAGCAGCCACACTGCTTTCTTTGAGTCACATAATGACAATTCTACAAAAATAAATTTGATTCTGAGTCTATGTCAACCTTTAATGCAAAATTAATCATCATCAGAAAAAAAAAATCTCCACAAATACTGAGCATTTAGCAATTAGTAACTACTGATAGTTTTGTTTGACAGTGACAAAAAAGAACAGGGTGGGAGTGGTGTGATGGAGAACAGCTGTAGCTTCAGAGAGGCAAAAAAGATAGTTTTCAACACAAAAGCCTGTCTAAAATAATCTACCAGTCTTTGGCACCCAGATTGTTCAAACATTTATTCCTTATGATTTCTAACAAAAAAACATTACGGAAGCTTTTCAGGTCACAGTTTCTGACCTAACAGGTAAGAAAACAAAACATACTCATTAGGTATTTCCATCTGTATTTTCCAAAAGGAATCCTACAGTTATGATAGGACCATTCACTACTATTTCAGTGATATCACTGTATACTACACAGAGTAAAAATCAATCTTTTATTTTTCTTTTTCTTTTGCTTTCTGCAAGTTAGGTATATTAGAAGACCTTTCCACAAAGATAAGAAACTTTTGAAATCCATCTTGAAAGAGATGCTTGGGTAAAGCAGCAATTCAAGGCCTTTAGCAGTGTTTTAGGTCTCAGACTACAGTTACATATGATGGTGAGTTAGGACAAAAAAGTCTTTTACAATCTTTTACATCACCCCGACCCCACGATGTGACTTTATCTACAATTCTGTAGCAGAAACATTTAAGCAGAAAACATTTCAAAAACAAAGGTAAAGAAAGTGGTGACATAAATCCTACCAGGTCATATCAGATATGGTGTCTATTTTTAAAATAATCTCTCTGTGCAAGAAAACAATCTGAAAACACACACACACACACGCATACACACACACACACAGACTACAAGAATAAACAAACTCTCCTAATTCATATCCACAAAGTGGGCTGGAAAACATTAGTGCAAATTTCTGCTGACCTGCAGCATTTAGTCCATAAACTTTGGATATCCTAGACGATCCATCAGTGTCCAGCAGATGTTTTCAATTAATTTAATTTCATCTCTCGGCAAATTCTGTTTCCAAACATTAGTATTAGTTGGTGATATTTCTCCTTCATAGGGGAGGTAAAAAAGGTTCGTGGAGGTGGCAAACAATATTTGGTTTAAACTAGCAGGAGACAAAGGAATTCCAAGAAAGGCAAAAATCCTTTCAGTGGTTTTCTGAGGAAAATGCACAATATCTTCAAACTTGACTAGCTGGTAGCTGGTAGGCAGCAAATCTGTATTTATTCTCAAGGCTGCCGCTGTGTTTGCAAGCCACAAATGAGACAATAGGGAAACTGCATTTGACTTGGATTTTGATAATTCTTTCTTCAAAGGTTCATATTCGAAAGCATAGCCTGAGTTTAAGCTACATTTGCCTTTACCTCCGTCTACTTTAAACAATTTTGCTAAGTGCTCTGGTACATTCTTCAAAGAGTAAAAACTTGGTTTACTACTGTACAACATTGAATAAATCCATGCCCGAGGGTCTCTTACCACATACAATGCCCTCATCGAAGTACCTAAAACTTCCTGAAAAAAATGAAGCTTTAAAGTCCAGCTCCCACTGTTTAAACTGAGCACAGGACGTGCACTTGGGTAATATACCAGGTGCCTCCTCAAAGCCCTAATATATTCAGCATCTCTGTCAAAGGCGCCTTTCATTCTACTTCTTTGTTCTAGCAAAGACTCTTTCCTTTTCAATTTTCTTTTCTTTTCTTTATTCGCTGTAAAATATTGTGCCAGTTTACCCTTACTGGGTTCATGGAGATGAATATTTTGCAAATGTAGTTTTGTGTCCCGGACCAAAGACTGCAACCAACCTCGCAGTAATCGAAAATGCCCACTGCGGATATCTGACACTTTCCATTCACAGGCATCTACAAATGAGTCAATTTCAAATTCAGTTTCAGGGATATCAATGTAGGCTGTAGGAACCCTGATGTAGAGAAAATCACTACTGTTGAAAAAAAGTTGTTTGAGAATTTCAGCTCCTGAACCAGGAAGTGAGGTAATGACAACATCAGGAAGATCCACGTGGTACCCTTCAGGAGATAAAGCCTTCTTGCTTGCCTCAGCCTCTGCCCTTGTCCATTTTGCACAGATTGGTTGAGTGCAAGTGCTCCACACATCAAGAAGCTCAATAAACCACAAGGCAATAACAAGTATTAATATCCATCGCATTAGCTTTCTAAAAGAAAGGTAAAACCGCCATTGAAAAGTTAAAATCACCAAACTAATACACAAAATAAATCCAACTGCTATATTGAATTTAAATCCAAAAGGGAAAATAACTCGATCATGTCTCACAGGTTTCACTATTGCTTGAGTGCCCAAACCAAATCGGGTTATTTGGCTTTCATCAGCCACATTGGCAAAACCACCAAATCCCAGGTAATTGAATCTGGTCTTCAGGTTATGGTAGTCAGTCACAATGGAAACAACATGTTCACTATTATTGACACTGAGGGAAATCTGAAGTCCAGAATTGGAGTTATCAATGAATCTGCAACCTGAAACATTGACATAAGGCCCATAAAAGATATAAGCGATTCTTGTGATTGTGGATTCCATTTGAAATGTAACATTTACAAATTGAGTCCACCGTTTCTTAAATTCAGCAGCTTGTTCTGCTTCCTGTATACTGGCTGTGGGGCTATTGCCATGATGATCGAACCAAAACATTTTGTAGTGTGCATCCCACACATCCATCATGGCACCATTGTAACTATTCCTAAATTTATATGGGATGTATTTAAAATCAATATCCAAATTATGAAAGAAGGCACTGACAGAATTTATTGGGGAATCTTCTTGCCTCTCAATGTGATCAACAACTAGCAGAGTTTGAGAATTTAGGAGAAGTAAAGCACGATAAACACTTTTCAGTCTCATTGCTGAAGAATAAGCAGACACTGCTTCCCCACTCACAAATATCATTTCTCCATGCTGAGAGGCAGTGATGATTTCCCCAGCTGCATCACCAACCTCCTCACCAGTCCACTTGAGCCACTGTGCACACTCTCCCAGTTGGCCTTCCCAGGGCTTGTTACACTGGCTTGAAGGTGATGGTGCAAATACCAATACATTGTTAAGGTGGCTCAATTTGGGGCCATAGAGAGCCTCAGAAACAAATACCTGCCCATTGGGAGCAAAAGTAAATGAGTTCTGATCTGGATGCTCATGTCCTGGGTTAAAGCTTCTCCACCCATCAATCCAGGAATAAGGCTGAAAGTGAACTATGTCATACACAGCTCGTCCCCCCAGCTTCCCAGATTTAAAAGACACAAAGGTATTGGTCTGGGTGTTTGGCAACCCAGCTCCATAGGTGACAACACCCCAATTAGGGAATGTATGCATTTTTGCAGTACCATATTCAGCAGGAGGCTGTGGGGTGAGCTGGGGATCATACCAGATGTATTCAGTATGAAGAGTACTCCATCTTTGGGCAGTGGAAGGAACCATTGGTCCATCTTTAGGTCGGTGCTTCCTAATTTGCTGAGCTAACCAATTTCCAGCTCCATTCTTTAAGATGAACTTATCCAAGAAAACAAGCTGGCTCTCTGGACCATAAAACCAATTATAATTGGAATCTGCTATACCTACAGTTCTTTGGAAACCTGGTAAAAGAGTGGCATAATAAAACCAAAAGTGCATTTTTAACCAGTTATTATCTAAGTTATTGATATTAAAATGGCGCTGAGCCAGAAAAACATACTGTGTGACTGATTTAGCTGTGTAGCTCCCATATGCCACACCTTCATCCAAAGAACCATCAACAACATGATTCAATAGAAACATCGTCTTTTCCATCACGTCCACTACAACTTGTTTCCATATATTTGCTTTAGAACCTTTTTCTACCCCCGTGACCAAGGCCCCTGTGAGTAATGCTATCATATTTGTAGCTTGATGGTTATGGAGAAGCTGCTTGCCCCACGAGCGGACCTTGGAATACTCATACATTTCCTCAGTAATAATCCATATTTTTTCCAGATATATTTGTCTTCGATGATTATCTAGTAAGTTATACAAAAAGTCAAAGGCAGTGGCAAAACCTGTTAAGGAATGCCCAATTGGAACCTCATCCCCTGGCGCATTCTCAACTAGCCAGTCTTTGTAGCCAACCATCCTGTCCATATATTCCAAGACAAATTCAAAGGCAACTTTGTCTTCTGGGCTTAACAAACAGTACAATGCTAAAGGAGGCAGATTATTACCATAAATTTCATTCCACTTGGCAGCAAAATCAGCATGCTTTGGTGGAGGTAGGTAGTATGTCGGGTTGGATAGCATAACCGTCACTGCACTTCTGATAGCTCTGAAAAGATGCAAATGGCTTGTGTGAGACTTTTGTCTCATTGATTGGATTTCTCCAGCATCAAAATATAAACTTGGATGGAGCATACTTTTCTTCAGCTTTTGGTTGGCCTTGAAATCTTGTACTTTCTGTGTCTTAAACTGATTTATATCATCTGTGAAAACTGCCCATTCAGAGTAATTGCTCACAGATTCCTCAAGAGTAGAGAAACCAAACATCACTAATGCTAAAAATAGGAAATGTCCTATAAACATTAACGCCATGATCCATCGGGGAGTTCCCTTCCTTAGGCAAACATGTCAAACACGGTGCTCAGTGTGCTTCCCATCTGGTTAGTATAAAACATACATTAAAGGCCTTGATAAAACAAAGATTGTAAATCTTATATACTGTGAAATCCAGCTGATAGTCAGCTCATTCAAAGCAAGTATAGTTGCCAAAGAGAAAAAAAAAATAAAAAACTTACACTGCCTATCTGTGTCCCTGGCACAGTCTTCCTTCCAATAAAACTTCAAGAAATGTTAAAACCTCTAATTTTCTGTAACACACAGTGGTATAGTAAAAAAAATAAAAAGTACTCTGAATTCAGAATTTACTTCCTTTATATAAATCTATTAAACACGAAAAGTCAAAACACACATTGTAAAAAAGAGAAAAAAAAAACACTCCAAAATTCAAATTAAAAGTCATCCTTAGCATAGGAAACGATCATTGGTGATAAACTCACATGTATGGTACATTTATATGTGTCTTCCCAAAGAAGACAGAAGTACTGAAGTACTGACATTCTTTGAGTGAGTGGACTCAGCTGCTTTTTCTCTCAACTTCTTATAATTCATGCTTTGTAAACGTTTTCTTCTTCCATTTTTAGGAGAAAACATCCTCAACAAGTGTTCGAAGTCCCACTTGGTTTAAAAAAAAATCAAAGTATCTGACGTCATTTCAAATCTGGCTTTTTTCAGGCTTTCTTACTCAGCAGCCTATTATGACAGAAACAGTATTTTCACATCTTCTTTGATCAGCTTCACTAGAACAAATATAAAAATGTATTATCTTCAGCCACCTAGGTACTTCTCTTCCAATCATGAAGTAACCACCAATTGGGAAAGAAAACTCCCCTTTCACCAATAGAGAAGGCTCTTTTCTGTTCCTTTTTCATGATAGTCCTTTCTGGTGCAAAAAAAGAAAAAACAAATTCTTTGAGGGCACAAGTATGCTAGGAGTGAAAGTAGACTGATCATTTAAATATTCTATATTCATTTAAATGAAATTTTAGAAATCACAATAAAATATTGTACACAATCTAAGCAAGCTCAAGTGAATTGTTCTTACACTTTCACACAGAAATTTGGATCCCAGTGAATGTTAGACAAGTAACCACGAGATGTTTTTGTATTTTAACTGTGGTTTGCTTTACTCAAACAGATTTTTACCCAGATGCAATGAGCACAGATGAGTCCTGCCATCACCCTTGTTGGGTCGGTTACAAAGGACCCAGGATCAAACATGAAACAGCAATTTGGGCTTTTTTCCCCACTCTGGCTGAAGGCTGGAGAGAGAAGGAGCGACGGCGCGCCCGCCTCTCACCTGTGGCCTGGGCGTCGTCCCAGAGGCGGCCGCCAGAGGGCGCGCTCGCCCAGCCGGAGACGGCGTCCTCGCCTCCCGGTCCTGGCTGCCAGACGCTAACCAAGTTTCAGTCTTGGACAAGTCTCCTCTCCGCAGCAAACACCAACGCCAGGAGTTTCTGACCCGCCCTGCCTGTTGCATTTTCCTGCTCGGGTCCCCCGAACGGGCCGGCCCCGGGCTCCGCTCCCCGCTCCCCGCCACGGAGGCAGCGGCTCGGGCCGAGAGACCCCCGAACGCCAGGTGCGCTTACCTCAGGCAGATCCCGACGGGGTCCGGGCCGCGCGGCGCCCCCGCCGAGGCGGACGTGGACACTTGGCGGACCCTGCTCGGCCCTGGCGGCCGGGCCCGGCGCTGCCCGCGCGGCTCTCCGCGGCCCCGGCGGCGCCCCCCGCGCTCCCCCGGCGGCGGCCCCGCGCTCGCACGCCTCCGTCGGCTCGGTCCCCGCGCCCCGCGGACACGCCCGCCCTCGGGGAACGCCGGGCGCCCGCGGGCAGGCGGGCCGGGCCGCGAGCGGCTGAACCGCCGAGGCGGGCGCTCCCCGGAGCGCCGGGTCCAGTGCGGCGTCCGCGTCTCCAGGCCCTGAGCCCGCCGCGGCAGCCGCTCCTCAGAGCCAGCTCCGGCCGCGCGGCCCGGGGAGGGCGAGAGACCGCGACGCGGGCCGGCGGGCGGGGGCGGGGCCGGGGGCGGGGCCTCGGAGCGGCCTGGCGGCGGTGACGCGCGGGCCGGCGGGCGGGGGCGGGGCCGGGGCGGGGCCTCGGAGCGGCCTGGCGACGGTGACGCGCGGGCCGGCGGCCGGGGGCGGGGCCGGGGCGGGGCCTCGGGAGAGGCCCGGCGACGCTGATGCGCGGGCCGGCCGGCAGGGGCGTGGGCGGGGATGGGGCCGGGCCGGGGGCGGGGCCAGCACCTCCGCTCCAGAATCCTAGGGAGGCTCCCGGCGCGGGTTCGAGGCTGCTGAAGCGGCCGCGCGCTCCGGGGCGGGCAGCTGGAGGCGTGGTGGTTGGGAGTGAGAAATCCTGGCGTCTGGCTGGGCTGGCGCTCAGACCTCTGGGGATGGAGCGAGGACAACGTTCCCAGGGCCGGGAGTGGCGCCGTTGGGTGACAGGAGTCACTCCTGAGGGAACCGCTGTGGCGAGAGGCCGCCTGGCTGAGGAGCCTGTCGCTTGGAAAAGCAAAAGCAAAGCACCCGGATCCATGTCTGAGAAGTAGCCCAGTTGTTAAGGCGAAAGGGAAAAGAAGACATCTGTCAGCTTTGTGGAGGAAAGTATGGGACCCGCAGGTCTGAGGAGTCTGGCTTTAGGGAAGACCTACGTCAGAAGGCAGTGGGCCCTGCTGTGTTCTACACGCGGGACTTCTCACCCCTGTCTGGAATTACTCTTGGCACCAGCCAACCCAAGTATGACCTCAGCTCCCACAAATAATAACTTGGCACAGACGAGAGTCCAGTGAAACGAAGCGACCCACATGCACAGTCCCAGCCGCAGCTGAGGACTGTTAGCGCCTCTGTCTCCTCTGGTTCTAGTCTGCATTGTTATTGTGGACAGATGAATCCATTTAAAAGTCAGGGCCGAGCTTAGAGCTTGGATCAACTCCCGGTAAAAATCAAGTAGTAGACTGTTGTTTGTAGAATAAAGTTCAGGTCATTTAACTTGAAGATGAAAATGTAACCCCCACTTCCTTGTCACTCCTCTGGGTTGTAAGGTTGAGAATCTTACCCCAGTTCAGATGATCAAGCTTTCTTTTGCTTCAGTAACTTACTGCCTTGCTTCTTCCACGGAGTGCTGTAACCACCACTACTACTTACCAGTTAAATGCTTTCTTACTATTGAATTTCTCTTATCATCACATCTCAGCTCAGATGTGTAAATGCCTCAGTAAATACCTACTGAGCTTCCCCAGCCAGGATGTATTACTCCAGCACTGTATTATGTGTACCTATATTCAGTCCTTACGTTGTTTGTGTTATGTGTACTATTTCATATGCTTGACTCCAGTACTCTGTTTAAAGCTCCTTCAAGTGATGGGAGTTTGGGTCACTGCTCTATCTGGAATGGATACGAGTTGAAACATTTACAATCCGCTTGTCATAGAGCCTTGCCTCCTTCTTTGAAATTTATTGTAAGACAAAGTTGCTCCTCTGATCTCCAGAAACGTGTCTTCCAGTAAACATCTGTATTGTCCCTCTATGTGGTCCATGATGGAGAAAGGTGACCCAAATATGGGATAGTAGAGTTGGAGGAAAAGGGAGCCCAACTTCAGATATTCCTACATTCTCTGCCGAGAGGAGCCTAGGAAAGAGTGTTAGTAAATATGCAGACTGTCTCAGAACAAAATGTGTGTGGATAAGGTCACTTCTTCTGAGGCTCCAAAGTGAGGCAGATTGAGGGGCAAGATCAATCAGGGAGATTTAGTGCAAGGGTACATCTGTGAAGCTAGTATTTTAACTTTCATCCAATAATCATTTGTTCAAATTTCTTAACATCCATATGATCATTTTCAGTTTACAGATGAGCGAATTCGGGTACAGACATACTGTTCTTTCAGTTCTGCCCCAGGTGTTTGCATGGAAGCTATGGGGCTGCAGCTAACCCCTCAGCATTCTCTGAGGCACTCTCAGGCTAATTCATGTTGAACGGGCATCTTCGCACAGTTGTGAAATATGAGAGTGTGAAAATAAAGCAGGAGCCACAGCTGAACAATCCAAATCACTGGCAGAAAGGATGGTAGGTAAATGGCACTAATAAAATGAAGAGAGCCTTGTTTCCTATGAACTAAAAATGGATCGCTCCAATTATTGCTTTTCCACATGTGAAGATGGCACAAAGTTAGTTAATTATAAATAATGCATCTGACCATAGAAGGAAAGAGCCACACACTATATTATTGTACATTAAAAACCTTTATGAGTGTGGCAGGAGACATTTATACCAACAGCTGCTCAATTCAGAATCCTGGAGCAGTTTCTTATTTTAATGCAAGTGAAGAATAGTACAGCCAATTGCTCTAGGGATTTCCCTCAATATAAGAAGATTTTAAATCTACATGAGATTTTGCTCATTGATTTCAAAAAACTTATGAAAATCTGTTTTCTTTATTTGCATATTTTTCAAGCTACTCCCAGCCACCTACTTATAACAGAGACAGTGGTTTCGGGAATAAATTCTCCAGGAAAGAAGAATTACTCCCTCTTTCCCTCCATCCATATTCATAATATCTCTCTCTCTCTCTTTCCCCTCCCATTATTCCTCCTCCTTTTAAGATTCCTCAGTATCAGTCCTAGAGCCTAGCACTTTGTGTTGAATGTTAAACATGAAATATCAACCCAATCTATAGCATAAGAGAAAAGTCATAAAGGTATAAAGTGTGTTGCCAAATTCTGAGCAAAGTCACACTGTGATTTTCCCCTAACAGCTGCAGAGAAGCTTGTTACCATACAAACTGTAGTTAGAGCTGTGTCTTGGGGTGACTTAATTCAAGTGACACGTAGGACTGGGAATATGGCCAATATTTTAAACAGAATTTCTGCCGGAATTTTGTCTTAAGATAAGCAAATTCAAGTTTTGAGCCTTAGAACATAAAGAAAATACTACATTGTCTTCCAGAACAATAAACTGCAAGCAGTAAAACAAGATAGTACATAAAGTGTCTGGACTGAAGTCTCGTTTTTCCATGACCTGTTATTCTGGTTGACTCTGGATAATTGGGGCAAAGATACCCAGGAGCCTTAAATTCACATTTTAGCAGTTGGCCATGCACAGCTCTCCAATGCATGGGCTTGTACCCAGCACAGGTATTTGAATCTGATGGCTTTGTTTTTCTTCTCTTAGCATAACCCTTCTTTGATATGGCTTTAACTGTGAGAACTCAGATGCAGATATCTTGAGTCACCGGGATCAGATGTATAGGACATAGGTCCTCTGGCAATATCAGATCTAGTGTTTGCCCCCTAGAGTAGGAATATAGCAGCCATGACTGTTTAGAAACAGACATGAAACTTAAGCTGCATCTTTTATAGCACAATTGGCCAGCAATAATAGGCCACATCAATAATAAGGACAAAACCACAAATTTAGAGGAGGCAGTAGAATCTCAAATTGCCCTTTTTGAAACTGCTTTGAATACAGAACATCTCAAATTTATGGGGATTTTGCCTGTAGAGTTACTAATGAAGAGGTGGCTGAGTGTTTCTTTGTTTATTCAGCTATATAAGAGTCAGTGTAACCATAACTGGATTTTAAGAAAACTCAAAGACACCAAAGCCAAATTCAGAGGAAAGGAATTTCCCCACAGGTCTACTAAATCCCAGTGTTTATAAAGGAGAAACTTTACTGCTACTAGATCTACTTGAATACAGTTTTGCTTTTGCAGTGGAAGAAAAATTTAAACAATATGAACCTAAGAGAGGGATCATGAGATGGATGCTCCAGAGCTCTTCCTCCTTATTCCAGTGGTTCTCAGCTCAGGGTAGTTGTACCCTGCAGGGCACA